AAGGAGTTAAAGTATGTTGCTCAAGCAGTGTATGCAGTGGAAGCTTGAACCCACTCCCCCAGTTATGAAACCAGATCTGTCAGACCCTAATGTTTACACTAATGCTCTAATAATCAACTCAGAATTTACTTTGTTTGGATACAGGAAGTTCCTCCATAGACAACTCTAAATCCTACAATTTAGAATGACTCTGATAACAATTGATAGTGAACTATTTTACATTTTATTTCTGCATGTCTCAAAGAAATGGCAGTCATTTCAGTTGTACATCCTCATACAATCCATCAATGTATTATGAATACACAAAAGGATTTCATGGACACATGCCATGCCATGACACATCATTGTTCCACATCATAAACTAAATAATTGAGAGGAAGAGAAAACATCAGTATCTTCTTAACACTGATTTTTATAAAATTATTTAATGTTTTATTTTACACCATTAAAAAGTACACAATATGTTAGATACGATAGCACAAAAATGCAGGGGACTGTAGATATAAGAGGAGTAGGGTGGTGTGGTGTGCTGATATCTAATTAAAAAAACGTGAAAACACAAAAGTCAAGAGACAGACAGCAAAATGAAAGCTGCAAATTCAATTTTCTCTTAAGAAAGCACCTTCTAGAATGTAATGACCTTCAACAAAAGTAACCACTATGTAACAAATTAATATTTATTATTCTTTATTATTAAGTTGAATTAAGATTAATTACCCTGGCAGTTATTGTTTTATATTATGTTTGTCAGGTTACATGATGTCCAGTTGTGTTCTCTGATGCATTGTGTTCTGCTGCCTAAACCAATGAGAAACATTACAAATGTAATAGCCTGCCACCAAAAGAGATCATAATCTAACAGCATGTGTAAAATAAATTGTACTACAGATTAATCTCAAAACCATTTTACCCTGACTTCATTCATCAAAGGGGAATATTTCTAGCAGTACTGAAAGCAAGTAGTAATTGAATATACATTATATGAATATGTACAGATTCAGCCATCTAAAATGTACATCAAAACTCAGAATGAGCAGAAAACACACTGTAGAATACTATAGTTTGGTGCAGCAGGCCACTTTCACCTTTTCACTGCTCAATACAGTTCAATAGGTGACACTTGGATTGCATTAGATGCATTAGATATTACTGAAATATCAGTAGCTTCATTAAATCTGTTTTTTAGTTTAATAATTGGATTTCTTGAACATATTACACTTTATTCTCTCATTCTAGCGTTAATCCCGCATCAACAGGGTCCACTTGCTGGCACGCTCGTCTCCATTTGGTGGTTTGAACCAAATCTTTGAGCAGACGTTGCCATTAAATGCGACCGAGAATATTCCAACCTCCGCCTTCATAGAGGGGGATTATTAGGAGGCTTGGGAAATTTGGCCAGGACGCCGGGGTTACACCCCTACACTTTTCGAGAAACACCCTGGGATTTTTAATGACCACAGAGAGTCAGGACCTCAGTTTTCTGAAGGATGGCAACTTCTGCTCGCTATACTGGGGCATTAGGACCCACATGGACCGCAGGGTGAGTGCCCCCTGCTGGCCTCACTAACACCTCTTCCAGCAGCAACCTTAGTTTTTCTCAGGAGGTCTCCCATCCAGGTATTGACCAGGCTCACACCTGCTTAGCTTCAGTGGGTTGCTAATTGTAAGTTGCAGGGTGACATGGCTGAACATATTACACTTTATCAGTTATGTAAAAGTAAAATTCTTAGTGTACCTACCATTTTAAAATGTAATTTGTCTACATGTTTTTCTGAAAAGGCGTTACTATACATGCCTGGATAAGCCTGGGAATTCTCAGAATGTAAGCAATATCATGTAGTGACTACAATAGTCAAAACAACTGACACTGTTCATATTGCAATTTGCTATTATATTATTGAGGCATTGTATGCACTGCTCAAATAAGTTTAATATATTTTTAAAGATTGCTTGCGAAACAGTTTTGTCAATAACTGCATCTATAGTAGATGAAGGCAGTATACAACAAAAGCGGTAATAATGTATTTGATGTACAGTACGAAGTGTGGGGTGTCGGGAAATGTTGTTTTTTTGTCTATGTATTCAGCTCATGTGCCAAATTAAAAACTACAGTATATAGTGCTTGATGTTGAAATCTAAAATTAATGGCACTCACAATCAAAAAGTATAGTGAATATTTCTCTTTTGTCTTTGTCTCCTTATGCCAGAGCTAATAGTAAAAAAAGGTCCTCAAAATATGATATTGTCTTTGAAATGTATTAGTATTAGTATTATAACTTCCATATCCAAAATAAAGACTTCAGGAATAATTTAATTTTTATTTATTAAAAAAAAATAACTTAAAAATCAGTGGATGTCCACAGATAACCAAACTGTACATCATCTACAGTTTTACTGCAATTCTAATAGACTGCCTAGATCTAGATGCAATTACAGTACTTACATCACTGTTTTGCAAGAAAATAATTAAAATGTTTTGAGCAGTGCATATTAATATAGTATTAATATAGCACAGACTTGTATCAACTACAATGCAACTTACAGTACATGACAAACTCATTAAAATCTTTACTCAAAACATTTATTTTAGTCTGGCCTTTTTTGTTTATTATGTGTTTATTTGCTTTTAAATACAATGTTTTAAAGATCAATATGTTTTTTTAAATAACATTTAAAAAGTATTTGTTTTCTAATTAATATTTATACACAATTGCTGTAAGATTTATAATTCAATTAGTATTATGCACCATTGTGACATCTCATTTGGAGATGTGGCACTGTAGCAACGTGGTAAAAACATTCTGTCTCAACAATGTAATCACTATATGAAATTGTTGCTAGTATGCATGCAGTATGAATAGAACAGTAAAGCACTAATGGATACATTAATAAACATTTATTAGTGTACAGATTTACCTGAAAAACACACACAGCTGCAGTACTTTATGAATTCACTGCACCACATGGCAGTTTTACAGAGTAGTGCAGTGCTGCGATGATGCATTAAATATGGCTAAATTTGTCGTCTTACTATTAAGAAGCAGCTTTTGTTATCTAGTTACATTAAGTCAGACAGTATTTCTAAAAGAAAGAGATAAATATACTTGAAATAATGCCCCTGTTCTCCTTTGTGTTATTTTTTCTTCTTATTTAGCCTTCACATCACTTCTGACAATGTTTTTTGCTTAATTTGCTTTTATTCCTTGAAAACATTGAAAAACCTCAGCTTTATCTCAGACTTATTTGAGAAAACATGACATCCAATATTCCATCTTCATCTTCTTTGAAAGCAAGACATTTCTTAACCTTGTTAATGTGATTCACCAAGATTTCTAAATTATTTTATGATAACAAGAATGCCTATAACATAAAATGCCCAAAGTATTATATTTGAAAGTATATGTTCTTACAATATTTTTAGATTAAATGAAAACATGGAAATATGTACTGTAAAACACTTGGTATTTGATGACACAATGCTGATTTGTGTAAAATAAAAGTGTATTTTTTCTAAATACTATATATGACTTTTAAAATTATTTACACTTCAGCAATCAGTTTTTTCATATTTATTTTGATTCTCACTTGGCTTTGAGAACATTGAGAAGGTGATTTCTGTAGTATTTTTAGGAAATTCACATTTTTGACCATCTCCTCTTGCAGGATTTCTTCAGTCCAGCTACAGTACTTCAGATTACATGGCTTGTTCTTGTGATCTGCTTTCTTTGGTTTACATCACAAATGTACTATTTTATTCAATCTGGATAGTGTGATGATCACAAAAATAAGCATGTTTATTTTTTTTGTTTTCTTAACTATTCTGAAGTAAATCTGGAGGTATTATTCAGGTCCTTCATTCTTTCATTTTTATGTTGTTTGTTCTTGTTAATATTAATGTATAAAAATACATTTGGAATCAATCCATCCCTCACTTTTAAGAAGGGCACCAGGACTAAAGGTTGCAAACCAGTTCCATTTTTTATTCTTCCTCACAGCGGGGATGATGTTCAACATAAACCTCACCTTTCTCTGTTACTCCCAGTGAAAGCGTTCTTTCTACAGTATATTTTATCCTATCACATCAGGTGGCTCCATTTGACTTGGGAGTCAATTAGTTGCTGTTTTGCCAGTTGCCATGGTCAGCTTCAAACAATAGTCTTGGAGATGTTGTATGCTCATAATGCAAGGTTTCTGAAGATTTCGAATTAGCTGCCCTATAATATGATTTTTTTTCTTAAATTGTTTTCTTTGTAGAGTAGGCACCATCCTAATAGCCCACAACTTCTTGGTGATGGACACCATCGTCAAAACTAAGGAGCATTATTAAATTGCCTAACTATAACTAAGATTGTTAAGATCATGATCAAATGGTACAAACTATTTTCCTTCTGTATTCTTTCTCCAAGACCAAGTGGCAGTCAAGTGGACAATCAGAAGCTTTTCAGAACAGCTTATAGATGTTCTGTGAAACTATCAGTTGACTAAAACTTAAAAGTAACTAAAAATAGGAATATAAAATTCTAGAATTGAAAATTCTATATATTTACAGGGTATGAATACATTTAAACATCAAAACACATTTAGAGAAATATGTAATTTTTTTGACAAATGTTTTTGCTTCAGCCAATATGAATAGTATAATTGTTCATGTTTTAAATTATGTAAAAAATAGTAAAATATATGCTTAAATGAAGGTATGAATTCATTCAAAGGCAACTGTATATACATTAATATACCTTGTCCTAAATAAGAATAATGTGTTTTATGGAAAGATTTGAGGTATATTGGTATCCACAAATAGCTCTGATTACTGTACATGTAACAAGCAACAAATTTACCTATTGGTTCAAAAACTTTTAAAGGCATCCTAATAAAAAATGATTAAATTGATGATCCTCAGCATGATATAACTGTAGCTATCATGTTACCAACTGTGAATGAAGCATTTTATGCCCAGCAGTTCTTTTCTAAGAGATTAAAATGTCAAATAACTGACTTACCGAACCAACAGCACAGTGATCAGACTCCCCAGCTTCAAAAAGAATCACATCCTTAATAAACACTGAGATTGTTTTCAGGATGAAGGACATAAAGAGGTGCATATGAATGTAGTTTCTTGTGCAGTGGAGTTTCCTAGAAAAAGACAAGAAATACAAGATCCAAATTGGGGTATAGTACTTTGCTCAATGTGTAATAGACATTTGCACCCGATGTCACCAAAACATGGATTACTGTGGAATTCCAGAACCATATTTGGAAACACTGCTTCAGCATTGTCCTGCTGAACCAAATATCACCCAGTTTATATATCCTGATTGTAAAATGGCATAATTCTAGTGAAATACATGGCACACTTAAAATGTGCTATTTCTAAGTTGTCTTTTGCTTGTCTTTGATTTTCCATAATGAAATGTTTGAGGATAAAAAAACAGACAATATTTAAATATGAATGACTTTCTTTTCACTTCTATTGTAATTGCCATCTGTTTAAAGTGACAGTTTTTCCTTCTTCATTATTCATCTGTGTTTAATTGGACCAACTTCTCACTATCTACAATCTGTGCTGCTCTTGGACCCTTTTGGCTCATGACAGTTTGTCCACAAGGGCTTTGTTAAAACCAATGTGTGACACAGTGAGATAGATGGCTTCACAAAGATATAGATATAGAGAATGCTGTAATGAGGTGCATCACAGATTGTGGACAGGTGGGTTATGTGGGTAGCCTCCTTGCCAGGCCCAGTGTTGAAGTGGGCTGCTGAGGAACAGGAGTGGCTTGCTGGATCAGGGTTGACAAGCATTAGCACTTGGAAGGAGTGGGGCACTGACATAGTCACAGAAGGGAGTTTCTCATCACAGAAGGGAGGGCAAAAGTCTAGATTATGCACAACCTTTAAGAGCTGTAGACATAAGCTGTCTGAGACCATAAGACAGTGAAAAACCTGCAACACAGATCTGGTATACAGAGGTGTCCCTGGCTAAACAGAATCAGATGGTAAAATATGAAAGGACAGCAAAGTAGTCGTGAAGAAAGGGGAGAAAGCAGTAATGAAGAAGGGTGATAGATCAAGCACTTACATCAATACAGCCATCATGTCAGTTAGAGGCATGACACCCTA